CCCAAGCTTTCTATTGACGACCTGCAAGATATTATTCTTGGAGTGTATCAAATCGGATTAGCCAAGAGATATGCTGATTTACACATGTCAAATTCTGCAAGTTTTGAAATTAAATTGAATTCGGAATTCCCTAACATCGTGCGAGCCAAGATCGAATCAAGATTTACAACCAATAAAGCCCACGATCTATGGATCGAATATTCTTCCAACCCAGAAATTCAAGGTGCTGACGCGATAAAAGGTTTCTATTGCAGGTGTGAGCAAGGCGCTCGAACATTAGGTTGCTGTGCACATATTTGCACGGGAAGTTAAAATTATTTAATACAAAAAATCACAACCGGTAAATAGATGACTATTTTTATTATATTGTTAAAAGGTGCTTTGGTGCTTGGGTTATCAGAGGTATCAAAATCATGTGACAATTAACGTTCGGAAACGAAAACTGGAAATTCTTGACGCTGGCCCTTCCAAGAAAGTGGTGGCATGAACTGAGACGTAGCACGTTTCGATTAAACAATTTTTTGTTCAGGTTATGCATGTACATTTATTTCTTCAAATCTGGTAATGAGTCACAATTTAAGATCATTTATAAGTACGGAATAATTTGGGAAGGCACATGAGTACTATGATTGATTTCGTAGTTTGCAATCCCGTACTTTTAAATGCATGTTAGGCGAGTTAAATTAATATAAATATTGCCTATTATTTTTTTCAGGTTTCAAGATTCAGCAGTTACAAGTTACAATATTCCTGTGGTTTGTGCATTTTCGTGAATATATGCATACCTATGTCTTTGTTATATGTACAAATTATATTGTGTAAAATTATAAATATGGTGTTCAAAACTCCAAGCTAAATGAAAAAGTGGTTAAAAATTAAATTGACATCGACTTTTTACAGTACCTGACTTCCCATAGCTGCAAATATGTGCTTATTACTCTCTCACTTAATTTTCCCGACTTGCATATTTTGTTACCACACAACCAAAAATAATAATTAATCTCCTGTCGAATACGGGGCCCAGAATTTTGCATTATAATCAATGAAAAATAATGCAAAGGGGCCCACGGTTACCATCAAATTCGATCACTGTCTTTACGCGAAACCATTTAAATCAAGTACCCTTATGATTTACTGATACTTACTATATATGTACTTTGAAACGTTTAAAATTCAAATCCACGTTGAATCACCGTTTTTTGTAAAAAAAATCATGTCTTTTTGCCTGATATTCTGCGCTTTTGATGTCTTTTTGCCTATTTCTTTATGTTCCTACATATACATACGGACATTGCCTTGATGAATTTTACTATGTACAAGAAACACTTTTGTCAATGTAATTGGCTTCGCATTTCGGTTTTTCTAAAACCTTGCCGACCTTTCGTTTCTCGAGTGATTAGGGTGACCATATTTGTCCTGACTAAAACCGGGACATTTTTTGGCCAAAAAATTTTTCCATAATATCTAGTGCTTGGCGAAAAAATTTGCCATAATATCTTGTGCTTGGCAATTCAAATATCACTGAATTTTGAGAATGAGCCAGGAAAGGAAATTAAGTAAATATTACATGCATGTTACTAGTATTTATGTACAAAACTATACTTTTTCATCAATATTTTGGCGAAAAAGTGAAATAATTTAATTTTTCCCGACGATTTAAAAAACCGGGACACTTTATCAAAACCGGGACATTTTCGGGACGCCGGGACAGGGTTTGAAAAGCGGGACATGTCCCGGCTAAACCGGGACGGATGGTCACCCTACGAGTGATTATATAATGCTTATTATAATTTTATTCTAATCAGAGAAAAATTTTAAACAAATCCTTCCCAACCTTATCTAGCTTATGATATGTAAGTACATAAGTATGTAAGTACATAAGTATGTAAGTACATAAATCCTCCTCCCTATCCAAGTAACTATGAAGTTTCCTGTATTCTTCATGTCAGCCATCAACCAATGCATAAAATTTCCTACATGCTCTATTGGGATAATTTTCGGATCCGTGCAGCTACTTATATATGCATTTACTCTTGCAGGCATCACTTCCATTAAATAATGCAGAAATGCAAACTGTGTAAATAGTTAAGACAAATACATTTTTGCACATTATTTGCATTGTGAGAACAAAAGTATTTATCGTTGAGGCAATAAAACGATCTAACACACACATGGCCAAGACCAGAGATTTTTTTTATGGCTAAACTGATTATTGTAAAATATTTGATATTCCGGTCTCCTCAATCTTTTCATAATACTGCAAAATTAACCAAGACTGTCGTTCATTAAATTAACTAACAGTAACATTTTAGATAATCTACACCATATTTACATATATGTATTTAAGTATTTGTATGGTATCAACCTTCCCTCTAAACAATGTGAAAGATTTAATTTCCCCGGGACTAGAGATGTGCATAGGGTAGGGTATACCTTAAAAAAACCCTACCCTATAGGGCTTTGGGCGGGCGGGCTTTTATTACCCTGAATTTTTAAGGGCAGGGTAGGGTAGGGCTTTTTTAAGTAGGGTATAGGGCCGGGCGAGCTTTTTTGTATGTACACCAATATGATGTAGGGCAGGGTAGGGCTTTTCCGTTTTACTATAACGCAGTCAACCATCGAGCAGGCGATTAGAATGAGACGCGGGACAATCTTGTCATCTTTCTGCTGTACTAATTCACTTGTGTTACAAGTACTTAAAATTGATTATACTATGGAGATTGAATACTCCATGTTGACATTTGTTACTGGTGTGGCGACACAAAATTTGGAAAGTTGCAAAAAGACTTAAATTTCTTGCGTCACATTCCATAGATATAAGAATTGTTCAACCACACGAGTGCGAGAGCCAAGAACTTCATTTTTGTCCGGTGGAAACGTTAACGAAATTAACTTTGATTTACAAAATTACTAGACCATTTTTGAAGTTTTAATGTCATTATAATTTTTTTAATCATCATAATTGCGAACTAATAATATATTAATATTATTAGTTGCTTTAAACGATTTACATAAACAATTGTGAATAGGGCCTGGGCCCAAAGCCCTATAGGGTAGGGTAGGGTTTTTATTGATAAAGAAAATCTAGGGTAGGGCTAGGGCGGGCTTTATTTTTCTAGGGTAGGGCAGGCCCGGGTTTCAATTTTACCCTACCCTATAGGGTAGGGTAGGGCAGGGCAGGGCCAAGTAGGGTATAGGGTAGGGCGGGCAATGAAAAATGCCGGCCCTGCACATCTCTACCCGGGACACACTGGTATTTTTTTTATTTTTAGCAAAGTTCACGTTACACTTAAAATTTAAAAACTTGTGGACTTTATATATAACATGTCCAGAAATAAACGGTTCTGCGTAATGTAAAAGTGTACTGCGCACTTTGTGCAGATTGTTATTTTTCATTTTCATTTTTTGAACCGTAATTGAATGGGTCTTCAGGGGATATAAAGCATTTTTTGATAAAATGGCGAAATTTAGTAGCAATCACCCTGAAAGTGTAAACCTCGCAAATCGAGTTTTTCACAACCACAAAACTGCTGTTTGAAGTGACTCGAACCAGACGTGGCAGTACTTCAAAACGGAAACATGTCACAATAAACGATGATGTATCGTTATATTTCGAAGTATAAGGATGACAAAGAGTGTAATTCAAAAAGTATTTAAGGCCACCACTCGTCACGGTCACCCACGAAAAAAGGAAAGCCATCAAATAACTTTTCACCACCAGTCCGTCCCGGTGAAGTCCTGCGGATGCTCGGAAACCGAAAATTTCAAAAAATCGGTTGTGCAGCATTTAAGTACATAAACTAAGGAATGCAAAAAAAAATCAGAAAAAGTTTTGCAAAAAACGTTGAGGACCAAAAAATCAGGGTGAAAAAAACGAGTCGACAAATGTCATGAAAAAATATCATTATTTGTGACGAGACCTACGTTGACCCTGACCCTTTAAAGACTTCGAAAAGCACATTTTTTCACTCAGGCAACCCAGTGGATATAGATTATCAACAGAAGTTGGACATGATACTTAAATTCCCTGTAAAATTCCAAGCGAGGCTTACATTGAGACAAATGGCCTTAAAACAGAAAGCCCTCCAAATGCCCCTATTTGCGAGAAATGAAAAAGATTTGGGCCTTGTGCAATAGAACATACTCTAGCCTTCGCTCCAAGGCGAAAAAGCTGGAAAAATTCGAACGTTAACGGCGAAAAATCAGCAAAAACATTTGGAAAGCGAGTGAAAATCGCAAATCGTTGTTGCAAGTCGCAAATCCTTGTTGCGGAAATTCTGATTGGTGGCCAAGAATAGAGTAGGAAAATTCATTCGAAACCAAAACTAACCCCTATGGTTTTCACCTACACTTTGCCCAAGATTTTATAAAATTCTTCTCACTAGGTCGTAATACACAGCTCATTATGTGCGGTACCATTTAATCCTGGACACACCTTATCTAACATATTTTTATATTTTTTGGCTCTAAACAAATTCATACAACTTGATGGAGTATGGTGCTTGATCTTACACTTTCATATTTCCCATGAACCCAGATGTTCACTAAACAAAGTATTTATCTCGTTAACATCAATTTCCAGCTTGGGAATCAACGAGAATTGTAAACCCAAGTAATTCAATTTAGTTATGTACACATTATTATTTTACGACGTATGTATGCACACGGAAATGTATGTACATATGTACGTGCAAACTAATGTATGCACATGCATATATACATTGTATACATGTACATACATACATATATCTATGCACTTCTACATACAAGTATTGCGCCTACAATAAAGTTACTTTCTGCATATGCATAATTTTATCTAACTAAATAAGTTATTTTATCACTTTGCCTCCAAGTTATAATTAATTAGGAAATAAATCCTCTTTCTGGATTGTGCCTAGCTGGAAATCACGATGAATGTTATCAGATGCAATGAATCATCAATGCTTCGTTAGATACCTGGCATCTGTTTGCAAATAATAAAACACTCATTTCCCCACTAGCTACTCACCAGTAAAGTTACATAAATTGTTAGTTTTACATTTCATTTTCCCTACAAGCCTCAAAAATGTCTAACCTGGCTGATAGCATGGCATTAACCCTTAGCCATGGGAGACCGTTTTAAAACGTTTTAGAGTTTTTGCTTTAATTCGGGAGACCGTGAAAAGCCGTTCACAAAAAAAGTCTCTGCCTTCGGGGTCAACGGCTTTTCACGTTTTCACGTTTCCATGTCAGGTGCGGGACAACGGATATTTCCGTGGTAAAAATTATTTAGCTGATTCGGGAAACGGCAAAACACGTTGACACTAACAACTAAAATTATTAGGGCCTTGGTTCAGAATCGTCCGTGGTAACACTAGGTCACTTCGCCACTGCTTTGCATAGGATGGGTTACATGTAAAATTTTTGACTCTGGTTTACTAACTGCTAAAACTATTCAAGAAATTTATAACGGAAAGTTATTGAGGCCAAACCACACCCGTCTCGTGTAATCTTGGTTTTGCCAGGACGGGTTAATTTTTGCTAAATTTCAACGTTAATGAAAAACTAGTGGGAGAAATTAGTTTCGGGTTTTCCCAAAAGCTCGACATATATTTTGGTTAGTACACCAACTATCTCAGATAATTTATAAAGGTACAGGGGATTATTTAAGATACAAAATATGAGGTAAAACCAGTGTCGCCAATAAATAAAGGGTTATATACACCTTCTATCAAACTCATAAATTATCAAATTGATCTCCTCGTCTAGATTGAGGTCTTGGCTGCATTTAAAAATTAAAATATATCAAATGAATGCATACAGTTAGTCAGAACTCTTGATCCAAGTTAAGAAAAACCCTTATGCAGATCCACAAACATGTGTGGTATGGGACCAATTGCTCTATTTTACAAATGTCTTGAGTAGTTTTGCATAGTCATAATTTTGCACCTTAGTCATATTTCATAACTCTAATTATCATGCAACTTTGCTTTACAATGTTACACTTAAATTTTAATACTCATCATTTTAAATATCATATTTATTGACGTTGTCCCGCAGTTAATTTTCTCCTAACGTGTTTTGCCGTTCTCCCGAATTGAGCATTTATAAAATCGTCCCGAATCTAAGCAACTCATGTAATAAAAGTTTCCAGATTTAGAACTTGTCAGATTTTAATTATTTTTTGGCTTCCCGAATGATCACAATTGTGGTCATCGAAACGCCCCGCAGCAACGCCAAACATAGTTACCGTTTCTCCTCGGCTAAGGGTTAAGGATAGTTTCTGCAGTGAAATCCTACTCTAACAAGGTGATCCTGGACGGAGTTGATATCACGGTGGAAAAAGGAACAATGTAAGATTTCAGTTTTATTCCCCCTCGAAAAATTTTAATGATTGAGGGCTGATGGGGTTTAAGTAAATATATAGGCTTATCTAAGTCGATTAACATAGTAGTTGAATTACATATTTAGTAGTACGTATGTAATTCAAAACTGATTTTTCAAAAGTGACATTATATTTTTGTCATTTTACGCGATGTTGAAGTTAAGACCCACTTTCAGTTATCTTGCGAAAAAATTTTAACAATAATGTACATATTTATTTCACAGCTATTCACTCCTTGGACCGAGTGGATGCGGGTAATTGCAAATTTGTTCATTCCGACTAGATACAATTATCACTAACTCAACGTCAAAATTACATTTTGAACGAATCAGGAAAACCACGCTGCTTTCCTGCATCGTGGGAATTCAACAGTTAAACGAAGGAAAAATTGAGTTATTTGGACGGAATGTGTCCACATTTCGAAATGCGATACCTGGAGGATTAATCGGCTATATGCCACAGGTTGGGAAATAAATAATTGAAAGTGTGCATCCTTATTTAATAAAGTGAATTTCCGAAAGAGACAGTCCGTAAATTACGTAACGCGTGACCAAGGGATGGGGAGATCTACATAATTCTCTAATGATATCGTGCCTGTGTTACACATGTCAAATGACGGAGAGTGGTCTCAAAAGTCGCGATTTTTGCGTTTCGTAATTTATGGATGCCTCCACATACATTTTATTGACTCATCTGAAATTTTGTTCCATCAGGAGACTTGCCTCTACGAATCCTTCACAATTCTGGAAACATTCATCTACTACGGAAGACTGCATTGTATGCCGTTGGATAGGATTATATGCAACCTGGCAAATTTAAAAATTGTCATGAATCTACCCAGTTTGAACAGTTATGTCAATAATATCAGGTATGCACAAATGTGTAACCCGTTCGTTATTAGTTGATGCCCTTTTAATCCATATTTTGTTAATGAAGTGGTGGGGAGAGGCGCCGTGTCTCCCTCGGCGTGGCGTTGCTGCATGACCCTAAAATTCTTGTCTTGGACGAGGCTACGGTCGGAATTGATCCGGTTTTACGACAGAAGTTTGTTAAATATACATTTGTGATATGTACAATTGTTATAAAGTACGCAATTATGTACTTGCGCAATATGTGCTTAATTTCAGAATTTGGGATTATTTGGAAAGTCTTGTTCAATCCAGTGAAACAACGGTATTTCTCACGACGCACTACGTCCAAGAAACCAGGCACTGTGCAAAGGTATGCAGATAAAATTAGGGAATTTTACCTTAAACATGACCAGATTTTAAAAATTCCAGTTGTGTGTACAAAATGTGAAAATTTTTATTCAATGGAATAAATTTTTTAAAGAGTACTGTAAATTTTTCAGATCGGATATCTACGAGATGGCCACATGTTAGTACAAGATTCGCCGAAAGCGTTGCTAGAAAAATATGGTGTGAAATTTTCTACACTAATTTATGTCTTTTCTGTTTTTATGTCAATTTCAAAATCCCAAAGTACAAATTTGAAATTTACGTATTTTATCATTCCAGGTCCAAATTCTGAATTGAATGCTACCACACTCGACGACATAATGCTACATTTATGCAAATCCCATATTTCGCGAACACACCAAATCACAACATGTTGTACCCCCAAATTTTCAAAACTGGAGACTGAATCTGATCACGAAGTGCAATTACTACAGGTTGGAGTTCTCAAAGCCCACATCGGAAACGAACAGGCAATCCCACAGACTAACGTTCAAAATCATTATGGACGCTCGAATGTCCACTATTCTCAACTGAAGGCACTCACAATCAGGAATTGAATTGTGTACATGAGATTCCCAGCAGACTTCATGATTTGGTCGGAGATTTCCTACCTCGCTTATCGAGGTTGCCAGCTAACTTCGAAGATTAACAAATGAATGGGAGGGGATACACACATACAATATAAGTAGAGGACTACCTCGTTTGCACATATTGACGCATTAATGACAGACATAGAGTATATTCAGTGTAAAAAGCCGTCGAAAAGGGGCATAGCGAAATTTATGAGGCGACAGCAAAATATACAAATTTTGATTAAAAACTATACAAATTTAGTTTTTGTAAAATAAATAATTTTTTAGTAAAAATTTAAAACATATTTAGTACACACATTATGAAAACAACGTTTTTTGAAAAAGCAACGTGATCTGTAATCACCCCCTTAGACTCAGAGTATGCAGTTTTACATACTGAAAAGTCTTATGGCATCTTGGTCGGAGACGAGGGTAGGATTCTCCGGGCAAGCCAAAAAGTCTGATTCCCAGTGTAAGTTTATAATGCGGATAAGGGGACATCCATAACTTAAAAATGCAAAAATACAAAAATCTCAAATTTCTAGACCCCGTCTTTAACATTTGTGGGTACGATATCATTAAAGCCTTTGCCACCCCCTACTCCTTTCTCGCGTTACGCAATTTATGAAAGGCCCCTTACATGTCCTTAAGTCAGTCATGATTTAATACCAGTTTTATAAGAGTGTATTGCAATTTTCTGGAACTTTACATTTGACGCGTACCTAAACAGACTGCCTCTGAGCCAACTAGTACATACTCGGACCATAAGTGTCCGTACATGCATTTCTGGTGATAAATCAAAAAGTATTAGAGCTATCTGTTAGAAATTTTTGTGGATGAACAAGGCACTAATATTGTTTAGAAATCATAACTTAGTTTTCAAGATTTCGTCCAGGGGCTTTTACGCAAGACGTAACTCGTGACAGAAACCGCTCGCTCGCGGCACGCGCCGTTTTCATGAGATAAGTGCTCCACACTTTCGTTAGGATGACTTCAGGCCATCCACGCTTATGTGAGATTTAGAACATACTTGTATCTATAATTTTGACCACCGGTCATAATTTAGAGGACTAAGGTCTGCAGATGCTGAGGACCGTTCTTGGGATGAAAAAAGTCAGCAAAATTCGTTCGAAGCCATTTTTGGACAACTTTTGCAGAATGGTCGCCAACCAGAGCATCTTGAAAGTCCAATGTTGTGTGGGCGTTGGTCTTCCGGTGGGCGCTTGGTAGGTCAGAGGTGAGTGCAGTCGGGACGGACTGGGATGAATGTTCCGGAAGGACACCACACAGTTTGGGAGCGTAAGGCCGTATGTACGATCGGCAGCCCCGCTTATGATGCGAGATACACGAAAGTTAATGTTTTATCGGAATTAGCACTCGAAATCAGTCACCGAAATGTAATACGCGTCACCCCGAGAGTTATTGTTTTTACATAGCAACTAGTTATCAATTTATTTTACGTAGCCGTAGGATTTTTACATTTATGTATTAGAAACCAAAATATATTTAGAGGTTGTGGAAACTGTAGAATTATGGGGGACTTTAGGATGGCAGTGGTGGAGAGAGGAGATACGTCTTGGTAGACGCCGGAACTCCGTCTGCCAGGATTCTTGGACAGAAGACAGTATATGTCCTTGTTGAAGGAGACGATGTCCTTCAGTCGATGTATGGATAATTTGGAGTGACTGGCCGGTCGAGATATCAATGTATGAATATGGAGACGAGGAAGAGATAGGAGGGGAGGATGCATATGATATGCATAGTTCCCTCAGTTGGTTACTGAAGAGTTTATGGTCCAGGGGATTAACTATTAGCTTTTGGAAACTCTGAAAATAAGTTTTGGGTTGAACATGTACCCTTTGCGGCAAAAAACAGAGATTTGCTTTTTCCAGGCAACTGGCTCCTGTCAGATCTAGGGCGATAATTTCTGATTGACCTCTGCATACTAAATATAATGTCAGGGTCCCGTAGAGCAAATATCTGGCAATTTTTTTCTACTAACTTTGTCTCTACAGGCGAAAAGTCTGAAAAGCTTTTCTCCTGAAAACGGCGCGTACCGTGAGCGAGCAGTTTCCGTCGCGAGTTATGTCTTGTGTAAAAGCCCCTGGATGAAATCTTGAAAACTAAGTTATGATTTCTAAACAATTTTAGTGTGTTGTTCCTCCACAAAAATTTCTAACAGATAGCTCTAATACTTTTTGATTTATCACCAGAAATGCATGTACGGGCACTTATGGTCCGAGTATGTGCCTCTTCGTGAACATGTACCTCATGTTGTTTACGATTGGACATGATCCAGTCGGCCTCAACTTGGGGACAGTAACTGGCCACTCTTGTGATAAAATGGTTGACCAATCTCCACTCACGAAAGATTTTGCGTGTAAATTTTTAAGCATCTTGGAAAAATCGGAGATTAATTTGGTATGTAGCTACACGCGAAATTTTCATTTGTGTGCGATATTTGCACAAATTGTAAGCTAGATATTTACATATATACTGATGTTGAGCAGGATTCTAGTCCGGGCAAAAAGTCCTGTTTTGATGAGAATCGAGCGTGCACGCCCTCGTCCCTACTTCTGCATGGATTCATATGAAATTTTCAACTTTGTCTTAGAGATGCGAAATTGGCATGCACATGCACCAACATATGCTGTATCATAATACAACATCAATTCCCGTTCCTTTCGCTATAAATTTTTCAGGAAAAATCAAAGACCAAATGTCATCCCTATCAGTTCAGGAGGCTCACAGGGTTAGAGTAAACTATCGTTCATCCAGAATGTATTGAGCAAGGGAATTCTCGGGAGGTGAAATGGCCGACCTCTCCATAAGCTATAACACGTAAAGTTTCTAAATTAATTGCACGGTCATTTCGTGATGGATTTTCAAAATGGAGCCCGTTTTGGAAACCTTGGACCATGGGGAGAAATATATATTTTCAGATTTTTCAAATTCGGCCCCACCCCCTCGAAATCCAGGTCACAAGGTCAAAAAACAAGTAACACTTCTTTATCGGATTTTAAAATTTTACGACTGGATTCGACGCACCTGGGGGTAAATTCGTAACGGCAATGGTCAGGTCATCATATTCAGCGACTAGTTGGCCGCACCCCCTGCTTTGGAATCATTGTGGGGGTGGTCAAATGTCAAATCAACACATTTAATGTAGTAAAAAATTTCCCCCCCCCCCACCGTAGTTTCCAAAGTTCAACGTCGACAGCACACGTGATCTTGCCAAGGCCCCTATGTGAAAGACATTCCATTGCCGTAGACCCCATGGCGACAGGGGGCGTGGTTATCGGCGCTTCTGCCAATACCTTACCAATGCACGCCATGCGACATATCATTTTTCTCAGGCCGGTAAGGAGATTTCAGTGGCATATTTCAAATTTTAATATGCCACACCCCCTGTGGGTGTGGCTATAGGTATCCAATGGATAAATTTAAACCTGGTCATGTGACATATCAATTTTCTCAGCTCACCAAGGGGATTTCAATGACGTAGTTAAAATTTAGTAAACCACGCCCCCTGTGGGTGTGGCCGTCGCTATCCAGTGAATCAACTTAAACCTGGTCATGCGACATATCAATCTTCTTAGGACGCTAAGCGGATTTCATTAACGTAGTTAAAATTTAAAAAGCCACACCCCCTGTGGGTGTGGCTATAGGTATCCAACGGATAAATCTAAACCTGGTCATGTGACATATCAATCTTCTTAGGACGTTAGCTAGATTTCAGTGGTATACATAAAATTTAAAAAGCCACACCCTCTGTGGGTGTGGCTATCATTATCCAGGGAATCTACTTCAAGTGGGTCATGCGACATATCAGTTTTGTCAGCACGCCAAGGTTACCACGACGAAATAATTAAAACATGTGAAACCACTCCCCCTGTAGGGGTGTGGTTTTCTGTTCCCCGTAAATTTGGCGAAACAAGTACTCGCCCGGCGTGTAAATTTTCAAAGCTCGTTACGCGATCAAAGTTATGTAATTCATAGTCACACGTCCAATTGGGCTGGATTGCTCGAGTTTTACAAAACCAAGCGATGTGAAAAAACCATTTTTTAAATATTTAATGCAGCATCTCCATGATTTTGCAGAATAATTAAAATACGGGAACTGTGTCCTTGTTTGTTGACAGCAACGACTTTTCGAGATTGACGAAACCATTTCGGATGACTCATAATAAAGCGTCATTTTTATACCTCCATGGTCATCGCTTCCAAGCAAATTTAAAATGGAAACCACACCACCAGGGCTTGTGGTCATCGTATTTGCACTTGGCTGGTTACCTTGGGGATGAATTCGATGCTACTGATTATTTTGCAATTCGCATTACCTGGTTTCCAAGATTTGCACATGTGTTCAAACCACACCCATTGTGGGCGTGGTTTTTTAACTTTGAATTACGTAACTTTGATCGACCTGAGGAGGTGAGAATATTTGCAGATCACATGACAGTTTCGCAAAATCCGCTGGAAGCAAACAACCACACCTACAGGGGGCTTAATTTATCATATATTAAGCCTTCCATCGTGGTCGCCTTCGCGAGCAAAGGCAACAACCATGGGATGACCCATGACCCGGTTTAAGTAGATTCACAGGATACGTATAACCACACCAGGCCCCGAAATTGGGGAGGGCAACCGGGGCAATTGCCCAGGGCACCAAATTCTGGGGGCGCCGGCAGGGACCCACAGGTTTATTGTTATTCACTAACATATCAAAAAATTAAAGACGCAATTTACGGACAGTGCAGTCGTTACACAACATTGAACAAACTATATATTTACATAGATGCTCAAATATGTCAAATACCTAATTGCGCTAGTAACTAAACCTCAGGAACCAATATCGCGAGCAACCTATTTACTTTGTCTAGCTGATTACATTTCTTCGGCCTATTTATGCTAATTTTATAAGAAAGGCAGGAAATACTTAAGCTGAATGGAAGGACAGTGTGAAGGAATGACGATCTGGGGCAAGACTTTTTTTTGAAGATTTTGATGCCATCTGAATAGTTAAGTACATATGCAAGCCTTAAAAAATACCTCAAACAACTTTTGTAGCACAAAAACTGAACAATTCGTCACGTCAACCTTGGACACCTTAAGGGGGCATTATCTCCACAGGTGATTACTTGGTAACATGTTTTTAGGTGTTACTAATCCTCATAAATTTCATATTTAAATAGTATCCGAAATTAGCTTGATGATGCTAAACTATTAGAACGTTTGCGAGGAATAAAAAATCGAAGACATAAAAATATTAGTCTTTTATCAGTGATTTCACTG